TTTATTTTAAAAATAAATAATATATACACACACTACGAAAAACTAACAAAATATAATTTTAAAATAAGAATTTCTTAAAATGTTTTGAATTTTTAAACAAGGAAAGAACTAAAACGAAGAATATCTACAATTCAAACATTAATTCAACAAAATTTTAATAAAAAAAGGATGAGTTTGCTTTTCAGCTAAACACGATCCATGAGTGAAACCTAGCAAATAAAGTCAAGGGTAAAAAGTTCAATCATCGAGGGAAGGAAAGGAAAACATCATGGAAATATCTTTGCCTCGGAAAACCCAATTTTCTTTTTGTTATAATTAGAATTATTGATAAAAATGTTAAAAAAAATAAAATAAAAGGTCAAAACCCATCAACTCCTTAGATTTTTTTTTTTCAATAATTCATACCTGAGCTGATCCTATTATTAATATTCTTCAATATTCCAATTTTTTAAGCCCCCCCACAAATATAAAATACAAAATACACTATAAAAGGGCTGAATGAGAACTGTTAATCTATAAATAGAAAAAACAAAAGCAAAAAAGTAAAAATAAAAAAAGAAATCAAAGTCCTTTACAAGGCAAAAAAAAAAAAAAAGAGGCTTACTACAAAAGCAAAAACAGCGTTTTTGTTTATGTGCTTGTACGTTTAACTAAAGGGTTCTGTCTTTCTCCGTGTCTGTCCTTGTTATCTTCTCCACAGATAAAAAGAGAGGAGGAGAACATTATTATGGACTGTGATTTATCTCTATATCCTCCTTCTCGAATTCTCAGCTCATTTTGTCCCATTTCCTGCACCAACTTCCGGCAGATGATGTCATCTTTCTGACATGTAGATCATCGCCAGCAGTTCACTCTTCTCTGCTCTTATTTAGCATCAAGGTCTCGTGCTGTTTTTGTTCGTTCTTTAGTTATGGTTTAAAGGGTTTCATCATTTTGTGTTTTGTCTGTTTTCATTGCTTTGGTTTTTCATGGATAAAGAGCTTAAAGCGATGATTTAAGAAGCTTGAATGAGCTTCTTCTTCTTCTTCTTTTGTTTTCTTTTTTATGAAACTTTTTTTATGGGTTTTGTTTGGTTTCTGAGAAAATGTGAGAAAGTTGAAAAAAAAAAGATTTTGAATCTTAAGGTTCATATTGTTTTAATCTTTAGTTTGTGTTAGTAATTAACTATATACCTAAATTTAGACATAAGCTGTAAAAATGAGAGAATTTATCATTAATATTTCAAGTTAAAATTAAGCAAAGATTTAATCACTATTGCTTAGTAAGAAGTTCAGTTTTTTTTTCAGATTTAAGAAGCTAGATTAATGATGAGTTTATGTTTTCTTTTTATGATTTGCCTTTTCCCTCATTTTCTTGGAAAACTAACAATTCTTTATATTTGTTGCTGAAGAAGAAAAGGAGTAAAAGTGTGATGCCTTTTTCCTTTTGTTTTCTTTGATTCCTGCATATGCCAAATATATAGTTTTGGACATTGAAGTAGCTAGGTCCATGTGAGTGCAAATTGATCTTTGTGAAATATTCTCTTAGGATTTTGCTGATGATACAAAATATTAGAAGAGATGAAATTCAAGTTTTACCCTCCTGGTTGAATTTTCTTCGCAACCAAACACAAACAGTAATGGAATAACCTGGAAAGTTTAGTGACAAGTTGCTTATTAGTTAGGCTTCTTTATTTTTGGTTTATTGTTCTGTTGTTCTTGACTTTTCTACAAAATTCTAGATGCAAATAGAAATGTTGGGATTCAATGTCAGATGGAGTACTCAATGTGATCTACTGATGTGCTTCCGATTCAAGTTATTTTTTTGGTTTTTATTGTTATTAAATTGTAAGATTCTTTAGCTTTCTGAATCGGATAATGTCCTCCTTTTGCTTCACTGACTACTAATTGCATGTGATTTAAGTATCTAACCACCCTTTTGATTCTCAGCTAAGAATTTTGAGTCAAGAATACTGTAACAGATCTTTCTGATGAATTCTTTATAATTTCCTTTCTTTCTCGTGATCCTACACGGTTGTATGTGTTAATTTTTTTTTTGAATGTTCAGAGTTTTGAATCTACAAAAATCTAGAGAACCATATCATATTGTGGTCCGTGGAGGCCATTTGAATTGAAACAAAGGCAATGGGGCATTTTTCGTCAATGTTCAATGGATTGGCAAAGTCATTTACAATAAGAAAAGTGAAGAGTAATGGGAATGGTGATGGAAGAGAAGCCGCAGAGGCAATGGCAAAAGATGCAAAGAAGAATGAAACGATCTTAAGATCATCTGGCTGTGTAAATGTTGATGGATCGAAAATTTTTGCCTCAGTTTTCTCAAGGAGAGGCGAGAAAGGAGTGAATCAAGATTGCTGCATTGTATGGGAGGTAAGCATGGAGCATTTGTAATAATGTATTCTTTAAATGTGATTTTAAGTGTGTTATAATGTCGTCTCTGTTTGTTTGCTAGGAATTTGGGTGTCAAGCAGACATGACATTTTGTGGGATATTTGATGGCCATGGTCAATGGGGCCATTTTGTGGCGAAGAAAGTCCGAGAATCGATGGCCACATCTCTTCTGTGTAATTGGCAGGAGACTCTTGCTCAATGTTCACTTGATCCAGATATTGACTTGGAATCGGATATAAAGCATCAAAGATTCAATATGTGGAAACATTCTTACCTAAAAACTTGTGCTGTTGTTGATCAAGAGCTAGAGCAGCATCGGAAAATAGATTCATTCTATAGTGGAACCACTGCCCTGACAATTGTTAGACAGGTAAATCAAGTTCCTAAATCCTTTGTCTTTTATTATGCAATGCTTATAAACTCTGTACTCTCATTTTGGTTTGCCTTTGTATGTAACAAATAACGGGGAGAAGCTACCAGGAAAAGATCTCCTTATAGCTCAAGATTATGCTAGGATGCCATTATTAGGTGTCTGACCACGTTTTTTCTCCAGGGTGAACACATTTTTGTAGCAAATGTTGGCGACTCTCGTGCTGTATTGGCTACAACAGCAGATGATGGAAGCTTGGTACAGGTTCAGCTTACTGTAGATTTCAAGCCTAATTTACCCCGTAAGTACCTATCCTTCATTCTGTCCAGCAAGGCAATATAAACAAGTCATTCTTACAGTAATGTTCGTCTTGATTGCAGAGGAGACTGAACGGATACTTCAGTGCAGGGGACGTGTATTCTGTCTAGATGATGAGCCAGGTGTGCACAGAGTTTGGCAGCCAGATGCAGAATCACCCGGACTGGCAATGTCCAGAGCCTTCGGCGATTACTGTGTAAAGAATTTCGGGCTTATTTCCGTGCCTGAAGTTACACAAAGGCATCTAACTAGCGAAGATCAATTTGTTATCCTGGCAACTGATGGGGTATGCATAAGTAGCGTACTAGTAGAATTGGTTTTCAATAACTAACGTCCAAAATCTTATATCAAACCTATAAAGAACTATAACAAGATTGTTATTCTTGCTGTCATTCTTTAGGTATGGGACGTAATCTCCAATCAAGAAGCAGTACAAATTGTGTCGTCGACACCAGATAGGGCAAAGGCAGCTAAGCGTCTAGTTCATTCTGCTGTCCATGCATGGAAACGCAAAAGGAAAGGGATTGCCATGGATGATATATCAGCCATTTGCCTCTTCTTTCACTCCCCCCCTCAATCTCAACAAGTCCATGCTGTTAGTACACCAAAATAGTGATCATAAAATGTAAATGAGCAAAGGTTGTTGTAGCTTCTCCATGATGTTCATTTACTTGAGACGTTTCAATTTAGTTGATTAGAAAAGGTGTTCCTGCCATGCCAGTATCGCCCCCTAGCTTTTTTCTTAAAATTAAGAGACTCGAAATTCGAACTTCTTGATGCTAGTTGAACTACAACTCATCGACTTCTTTAGCTACCTGGTGACATGAAGAATCTAGTACGAGATGAAGTCGAGGTGTTATCGAAAATCAGACTAGATTTGAAACAATTTGATGCTATAACAGCCAGCTACTTCAGTTTGTATACATCCGTCAAGAATTTCTCCGAGGGACAAATCCCATTGAGCGCAACTTGCAGCTGCTTCAAAATCAGGAACGATGAAACCAAGTTTCTTCTAATGGGCCTATGCTATTAGCAGATCAGTGAACTCTCAAACAGGCCTTTGCGGAAAATGGCCCGCCATAAATTTATCATGACCCAGTTTCATTAAATTATGACGTGGCCTGTTTTTTTTTTTTTTTTTTTTATATATATATATATAAAAGCTGGAAATAAAGTTTTCTGATATTCAATCCATCCCAGCCCGTCAAACTTATGCTGCATTATAAACCGAGTTAAGTTTAATAAAAGAACCAAGTTTTCATGAAGACCTAATATGATTCCTCTGACTATTTTGTTTTGTATTTACTATTAAATATTTCCTTTTGTTTTCTGACTTTCTTTTATTAATTATTTGAAGTAATGTAAAGGTTTTGACGGAGTTTAATAGCTTCAAAGATCAGAGAAAAGTAGAAAGATTTCAAGAAAACTCAATATGATTCTTATGATTATTTTGTTTTGTATCTGCTATTAAATTTCTCTCTCTTTTTTTTGCTTTATTTTTGTTAAATAATAGTTAGTTATTATTTGGAGTAATATAAAATTTCTTGTTTTGAAATAAAAAAACTTAATTCAGTAGAGGAGACATGGGAAATTTTAAGTGAAGGCTGGATTTATTTGATCCAAAAGAAATTTTATTTTCGTATTTGGATAATTTGGTTTATTTTTTAATTTTTGTTGATATAATTTTCAATTATCTTTTGCTTTATACTTGGTTAGAGTTCTAAAATTAGTGACTTACACTAAATAAGAACAATTGATTCGATAGCTTCATAATTTTTCTAAATATTTTCAGCTTTCAAATTATCAAACATAAAATTGATGATAGAAGAGATGAAGATCATGAAAATAGAGATAACATCTCTTCTATATTTTAATTTTTATGTTTTAAAATTACATAAATTCACCTGGCTACTACCGCTCTACAGCAAAGGAATTTCTCTTTCGTCTAGTTATCTGTGTCCTGAATATGATCATCTTAGTACTAAACCTTATGTGCATGATTTGTGTTTAGCGTGGAATTAATATTGTAGCATGCATGCCAATCCCATTGTGTAAGCAATTGGAGAACTACAAAAAAGACCGGAATATGATTGTGGGAATTGCAGGAAAATCCAACGCTTCATCAATCATATCTGGTGCACTCTAAGTAGTTAGCGCTGCTAGCTCCCTCTTCTCCACTTGTTCCAGGCTCCCCTACAGTTCTCCGATCATCTCATGCAAACCTCTGCAAATTTCACAGATTTTGATGATGGGAAGATCCTTGGCCCAAACCCTTTGGATAAAGGTTAGATAAACCTCAGACATGCGCGTTACAAGCTCAACGTGACTACCGGTTAAAACATGACTCGAAGGGAACCTTCTATGTGTTAAAATCTGGGTTTTTCATTAGGAGTTCTCGTCAGGTTCAAATTATAGAAATGGTGGGATGCGATTTGAGGAGACCGGAGATCGAGAGCTAATCCTTTGAACAGGCCGAGGTTGATCGGACCTCCCATATAATTCTTTTGAGAATGAATCATACTTAACGGTTAACACTACTGGACTCCATATGTTTTGTTTTCGTGTTCCTGTTCATATCATTATTGTCATGTAATAATATGGAAAATCATATAAATCAAAGCCAAATATGCTTATTAGACAAATCCCTCACAACAAATGTTTTAATCTTTACATCTTGTTAGTTTAATCAGTTTTTTTTGTTAATGCTTTATTTTGCTGTTAATCCTATCTTCTCATCTTCTACTTTCCTACTTGATAATTAATGAAATACTTGTGGGGATGCATAAAATTCTCCCTCATTGAATACTGGTCTTAAATCTTCTTGACACATCATGAAGTCCAATGGAAAGGAAACAAGATGGCCCTTTACTAATTTCAGTCTTTCAAGCGGGTCCATCATCTTAATCTCTCCATTTTCATTGCGTTCTATCTTCTCAGGAGCTATTCCTAAGTCAATGGTTGTGTGACCAAGTTTTTCCTTCCAATGGTTCATGCTTTGTCTGAGAGCAGCTCTGCATTGGATGGAAACGTACAAGATATGTGTGTTAGGACATTGTACGGAACTAAACAAAGAGGGGAAGACAGCGACGTTTCATGTTTAATTACCTCGAGTGGATACGATCATTAGGAAGACAAGCAAAGACATCCTGGTAAATCTTTGAATTTTCCTGTCCGAAATTAGAGCATTTCGATTACGTGCCGTAGAAGCAAAGAAAAGGAAGATAAGAAAGAACGTAAATGACAATGGTCAATGCTTTTTTTCAGCAGATTTATTAAGCATAAATTTCCACTCACCTTTGCCGTTGCCAACCATAAATCTCTATATGTTGTCTCTGCTACAGGATCACTGATTTTATCTATCTGAAGTAAGCAAGAATATATAGTTTCTGTTATTGATTGCAATGAAATGATCAGGAGTTCAGGACACTATGCCGGTTAAATTCAATTCAAAATCAGATGTGAAAGACCTGTTTTATAAGATGCCCTGTACAAACAAGGGCGTGCATAGTAGAACTATTCATGTGGATCAACTTTACTGTTACTAACCTCTCCTGAAGAAAGACCAAGATGCTCAGACCACAGCGAGCGCCGCAGGCTATAAGCAAATTTTCCAGCTTTCCAAGTTTCCCCGTTCATTGATGATTCAACAAACTCCTTGTCTTCAGTAACTACCCCAATCTGAAACAATGGTTTTAGTCAACTGATCAGGAAGCATAGCAACTTGAATCAACATGCCATTTTCCAAGTTATGAGGAAACTGCTATGTGCCTTATACAGCAATCAACAAGCAATACCTCAGAGTCTCTCGATCCAAGCAAACTCCTATCATTGATGTTAGATGATCCGATATACGCAATCCTGTCATCTACTATCATAACTTTGCTATGCACGTAAACCTGTACGCAAAATGATCAATTAGAGGGATGAAAAAAAGTAATATATTAGACAAGTGATGCAAAGAAATACCTGACTTGTGACCAACGGACCTCCCACAAAAAGTCTACCATACGTCCTCAGACCACAAAAAGAAATGTAATCATGTGTTTTAGGACCAAGCAATGCGTTAAGATTGTACAGAATTGAAGTGTTCTTCCAGGAGATGGTCCGATACTGCCAATGCATGATGGCTCTAACAGTTGCTGCACCACCATCATCCACACCTCCCTGGCAATGAATTATCCAGCTCATGACAAAGGCCAAGTATTCAATGCTTAAAATTAGAATTTAAAAGCATTACCAAGAGTTTTACCTGGAAACCTGGTGAGAGTGGTATGACAATGATGACTCGAAAGCACTTATTTTCTTTGTAAGCTTGAATAACACGTTTGTATATTGCATCCAAAACACGATTCTGGATAATCTCATCTCCACAAAGTCCTGATATGAAAAATTGATTCTGCAAATCAAGCAATCAACAGAAATAGCAATATAAAGCCTCTGCAATGCAAGTATCAGGAAATTTATACAAGACCAGAAGGAAAAATAATGGTCAATCTTAAAGTTTAAATACCTCTATGTAGATAAAATGTTCGGCTTTTTCAATGAGGGAACAGTAAGCGTTATGGATGCTTTCTTCATGCTGACTGGCTCCTGTTGACCACTGACTGACACTTCTGATAACCTACAGATGACATAGTTGCTCAAAGTTAGAGAAAATAAATAAAATTTTACAGTTAAGATATGAGAAGGCATTCACAAATGAAGATCTTGATAAAAGAACAAGATCATGTAATATGTTATGAGAAAATATGAAGAACTTCAAAGGGTGTAATCTAACCTGACAACGACATGAGACACGTGGTCCAACTTGTCCACATTCGCTGGCAGAAACATCAGGAACATCCTTTTCAGATGTTTCTGATGACCGATCTGAAATCTGCATTATGCTTTCAAGATCCACAAGATCATGTTCATCAACAGGATTTTTCACTGGTGTGTCTTGAGCCAAATTTCCATCCTTGGATTTCTGCAAAGTGAATGAAAAACTATCGCAGTGCCAAGATGATTGATCAAGACGATCGTTATTCATGTTTTTGGCAGTTAACTCGTGATCAACACCATTAACAACTGTTGCATCAGCTTCCTGAGGTAAAAGCAAAGGGATATCTTGGATTGGAGATACTGAGGCAAAGTGATCTGTTCTGCTGATGTCTTTCTGGTTTCCTTTTCTATTCTTGCTTTCAATATCTATACTTCTTCCCATGTAATGAGGAAGGACCATGTGGTGGCGAGGCATCAGTAGTGGAATTGTTTGCTCATTTGGTGCTTTGCTTCTCTAAGAAGAGATCAAACATATAAGAAACTAAACTTTCTGAGTGTCAGTGTAGAATGATGACACACGCGTTAGGAATCACGAAGTTAACCTTAGCATGGTTCCAGCGTTGAACAAAGTGCCTAGCAATGTCACGGCAAGGCGGTCCCCAGAGAGAACAATGGACATCATGCCATGGCATTCGAGGATATTTTCTACGGTCCAGTTCATCCTTCATTACGTCTTCCCAAGAATTTGGTTCTGATTCTCTAGCCAAGCAATGTTGTGGAAATATTAGAACAAAAATTTTTAAACAAGCCTCCACACTACCATATCTATTACATATGACGATGCTAATCTGTCCCTAATTCTCCCTCAGTCATCACATATGAGCTAGTAAAATTTTGCAGTCTGCATTATTCAAGAAACATCATAGCACCGAAAAGTAGCTGAACCATGACTGTCATTTCAATTTAATTTTCTGAAGAAAGGAAAAATACCTTGGATTATAGTAGTCCTTTCCAGGCCATATGTTGGGAGGACAATCACCTACTCTATGTTCAATAGTGTCATAACGGCCAAAGCATAAATCTAATCCTCCAATAAAGCAAATCTGGTAGTCGATGATCACCAGTTTTTCATGGTGTGACCTGCATGTGACATGATTGATCAATGAGCATACGCAAGCAATCAAATTAAACGATGTACTTCACATGAATATCGACATGAGATTTTCTAATTCTTTCATTTTCTCTTGATAACTCTAATCCAAACACAAAATAAATAAAATTTCATACAGAACTTTATCAGCAAATGACATACCATGAGTAGACACCAGTTGAGAAATGATCAGGATGGCGCAGAACCCTCAAATTCTCATGAATGTTAAGAAGCCTTTTCTTGCTGTACATACTGTTGATTTTCAAAGCAATAGAAACCTCCTTGTAGAGAAGGATATAAATCTGCACGGTCATTCAACTTCGGAGTTAAAACTTACATTGTTTCATTGCAGAATGTAAAAGGTAATAATCAGAGAATAATAATTCTGAAGTTTGATGATAATTATTTTCTTACGCACCTGAACCCCTTCCTTAGCTTTAGCTTCTAGCAAGGAATCAAGCCGGGAGCTAGCATGATCTTGGAAAGGCCTTCTTAGATACAGCTCAGGGCAAAGCCACCAGCCTGTGATAAATATCTGCATATAAATTTTGATCAACAAACTCATGCCAAATGTTGAACTTAATATGTCAAATGCATAGAAAGAAATGAACCTCTGATCTTGCATTCTCTATTGCGGAAGCAATTGCTTCAAAAGCTGCATGCCCATCCACAAACCACTGAGCTTGACTCCCATCTTCAGCTAAACCCCTTGGAGGAGCATAGGAACCATAGCGGTGAGAATGACACCACCCCTCACTTGTCCTTAAACCAGCATCTTCAATTGCAGAAATCCATTCTTTAACTTTACTACCACTTTTGCTTCTCAGGTTTATGCTCCGATTTCCGGCAGAAACCTTTCATGTTCCACAATTTGTTGGTAAATGTAACAACAATTGGAAGCAAAGGGTTCAGACCATAAACCTTACATTAGTATCACATAGTTGCTTGGAGAAAATTTTAAAGATAAAACTGCTTACCTTAAATGCATAATACAAAGGATTGCGTTCCTTTATCTGGCTTGCTAAATATACTTGGTTTCCTCCTTTGTCATTTGAGTTTGGCAGAACATCAAAAACAAGAATATCTATGATTTTTGCGTTGAAAGGATCTTCCAAAAAGGCCAAAAACCCAGGTTTCAAAACAGCCCACACCTTCTGCCAGTTGTTGTCACAGAAACCGAACCATTGGCAGGGCAAACATGTTATATCACTATCATCCTTGGAGATTTTTGAAAGATTCTTTGCCATAATGTAACCTTCTTTCAGCTTTGGACCATACTCCCTCGAGAAGGACAACTTAGAGACCTCCAAAAATTTGCAGACCTACGTCAAAAAGGATGGCATGAATAGATGAACAAGAAAGCATTTACAAGTAGAAGAAAAGTTTCTCGACATAAGGATCAAAGGGATGCAGATTATTTCTCCGATTCCAACTTAATTAGAGTCCAGTCTATTCATCTATAGCAATGAAGGAAAATCCATGTGGATTCAAACTGTCTTACCACTCGAGAATTTACTATATCCAAGTTTCCTAGGAAATGATTCAAATAATTCTGCATTGCCACCTTTGCTCTGTCTGAAATACCCTGCTGCCCTCCTAGTGCCGGACGAAGAAATGACAAAGCAGCAATGGATGGGACATCTCTGCATTATAAAACCACGTCAACTACAACGTATGCTAGATGCAGTTGCATGTAATGCTAACAAAGTTATCACCTGTTTCTAACACTTTCTTCTTGATGATGAACTGGAACAGCACCGTCATCCGGTTCATCAGCATCTTGCATGACTGCTACGTGATCTACTATTCCTAAACTGTGGAGCCATTCTTTAACCTTTCAAAGAAAAAATATATAAAGACGAAATCGAAAATGCATTAAACAAGATAATTAAATAGTGCAAAAAACAGAACAAGCCTAAAGGTGATAGAAATGCCATCTATTGGAAAAGAAAATAGCTTATTGCATTCTACCAAACCTGCTCTTGTTTCTCATGAAGTTCCTCGATAAGTGCACGCTTCTTCAAAGCAAAATGTAAGTAGAGAACTTGTGATGCTTTCTTCAGTAACTGCCACTTGAACTGTTAACAAAAACATTATCGTCAGCCTCATTTTTTGCGGATTCATTCAATTGATTTTGAGAGAATCCAAGCACTACAATAAATTTAGCATTCCTTGAACAACCTCAGCCTTGATTATGAGATATAAAATTCTAGTGAATCCCTTAGTCCTGGTCTGGATAACCAATTGATCATTAATCTAGTGCTGTTCTAGACCAAATCTTGTCCTCCCTTTTCCATTGAAAAAGACCTGTCATCCTCCTGCACCACTCAAACCAACCACCCTGTTCCTTCTCATCAAATTCCACACAACCAGCTATTATTTTAGCAAGAAAAACAGCTCTGGAAATTTGATTGTCTTCTATATCGCATGGTCATGTCAGTGGCAATTCTCCATGGTCCATGGCAATATTCCTCAATAAACAACTGCTCATCCTTTCCAATTCCAACTACCGACAACATTTAACCAAATATATATTCACCAACCACAATTTAAAAACAAGAAGACTGCCTTGCAAAAGAGAGAGAGGGAGAGGGGGGAAAGAGAGAGAGTTGCATGCCTGTTTGTATTGTAATTCAATGGTGTAAGACAGAAGCATGGGGCTAAAATCTCCAGCAGTATCAGGTCTTGAGACAGAAACAATGGTTGCTTTTGGCAATTCATCAAAAATCCAACCTGGTTCAGGGAATTGCCTGAATGAATAAGATGGATGCAAATTTGCAAGGACATTATCAGAATGCATAGTTCCAGCAGCTAACAGTGGCTCTGCTGTTGTTGTTGGCATCCCTCCCCTGTTCTTCTTCTCACCCCAGGACCCTCCGCTTCCTTACTTTTCCAGTCACCCTCAAATTATTACGGAAAGACAAATATAGCGAGAGAAGGGTTTTTGTTGTTTGTGTTAATGTAAAAGAACATGAATTGTTTAAAGGAGAGGGATGTTGTTTTCTTGGTTTTTATATGTGTTTTAGGGGTACCTGTTTTTTAAGGCTCTGTATACCGGGAAAGTTAAGGCAGGAAGGATTTTTTGATCTGGTCACTCATGCGGAATAGAGCTTTTGTCAAACTTGTTGTTTGATGGTGCCATGTGTTGCTTATGATTTAAGGCTGCTAGGGTCGTGTTTGTGGCAGTTTTAGACGGTGTTATGTGGAGATTGTGTGAACTCTATCGTCACGAGATGTTTTTGACTGCAGCAAGTGATGATTTTGATGCCTTAAAGGGTAAAATAATTTTTAGGTTTCTCCAAATTAAGGGCTAGAATGCCTGGATTAGCCCTGAATTTTCTTGATGTTATCAAGCTTGAACCTTCCATTCATCAATGATTATGGCTTTTTTCTCATGAATGAGGTGAGCGACAGAGGGTAAAGGGGACCATGATGGATTCCTACTTGGACAAGTTGAAAGACATTCATGTTGCAAATGGCATATCCCATGGCTGAATCCCTCTTGGAATATCCAACTTTTTGTGCTTACAACTCAAAAGAATATGCTAACAAATGGACCTTATCATTAGTTCATTTACTACAATTCAAGAAACCCACATGGACTTGGGATTAAATAAGTCTAAATATAGCATTGATAGCATCTAGCATGAACTTGAATCTTGATTCTTTATTCCATTCAAAAAGGGTAATGCTTTTTTTAGATTATTTGGCAATGATTGCGACAGCAGCAGCTAATATGGTGATCTGCTAGTTATTTTTTTGTGGTTAAGGCAGTTCATGACGGAAGGTATAATTCTCAAGATTATGCTTTAATCTAAATAAAGAAATTTAAGAACAGGAAGCAACATGTGGCTAAAATTTTGTCCATTGGAATTGCTTGAAAGGAAATATATGTTGCAAAGGTTGCTTTTTTGTTCAAAACCCTCCAGCTGTTAAAACTTGCAAGTTTCGTCATTTGACTTGGCTATGATACTTCCAGGTTTCAATTATGAGGATATAATGGGAGGAAATATTTCCTGTTGACTTTTTTAATTCCAACATCTTATTTTTAATAAATCGAGAAGAAGTGTATTTAATTTTAACACATGTAATTGCTTTTAGTTAGTGTTTCCAGACATATAAAATAGATATAAAATGGATAATAAACATGTTTGGTTAAGGAGATGGAAATAAAAATATAAAATAAATCAATCTTTAAAATAAATCTTTATGCTTTCAAAACAAGAAAAAAGAAAAACATGTCTTAATTATCTTTACTGTCTCCGTTGATATCCATTGCAAGTAACTCTTTTCACGAGTCCTCTTGCATCTCTCATATAAAATAAAATAAAATAAAATAAAAAGACCTCAAGATCAAACATGTGCGCTTTTTTTTTTAATTTTATTTTCCCCACTGAGGGCACAAATCATTAGCCCTAGTATTTTTGTTCTACTTTTGCAAGAATAATAAAGCTATCACCCCATTTAAACCAGACTCGGAACAGAAATCTACAGCCTTTTCACTTCCAACATCCAGTTTTCCAAATCTGTAATAACTCTCTTTCTGACCATGAAACTACTCTGCAATCTGAAAGTACTAGTGATGGTGAATTATTACGAAAAGGGAGTTGCTACAATGCCTATCTTCACAATGCCGATGACCATCTGAACCACTAGATGTGAAAGCAATAGCAAATCCTGTGGTCTAGATAGGTATTGGCATTGCGACAAAGCAAAAAACTTTGGCATCCTAGACTTGTCCTCTGTAAAGAAATGTAAATCGTTAATTCTGCAGGGTTCAGCAACTTGGCAGGATTCAAGTATAAACTATACTACAAGAAACTAATATGAATGGTCTCAATATATGTGCAATCCTGTGTTTATTGATCTTCTTGTTGCTACAAAATCAAACTAAACATTTTTCAGTCACTGCTCCAGTTTCGACATAAACAGTGAACCTTGGCAAGAGACGCCATATAATCATCAGACCTGGAATGAGAAATGCATCCATGAATTAAGCTGCTATGCTTTTGAGGTGCTAGTAAATGTAGATGGATTTAGAATTCATACCTTTGTCCATAAGGAGACCTACATGCAGCAATTATTTGAACTTTGGCTGCCTCTGGTTCTTTCTGTATAGGTGAAAGTGAACATTAGCTGCACATATCCATGCAATGACGAAGCTTTCTCACAACAGCAAGTAACACACTTTTATAGTATAAAATCATCAATTACATGAGCCACTAATCATGTTTCAAGATTTGGTATTAAATCCCAAGAGGCTCAATTAAAGTCCAAATGCAGAAAGAGTTTTAAACAAAAATCAGATAATGATGATTTAAGTCTTGCTGTCTTATAGGATCGAAGCAATGATCTTACAGAAAAAATTAATGAATCAAGTCCCATTTAAACTGCTCTAAAGAGACAAAAAAAGGGTTGCTTAAAAAAATCATGAGAAATAAGCTAGATTTTTCATCTGTTTTTGACATCCAGAAGCTCATATTGAGAGAAACCACTACTGTCAAATACGGGTTTCTTTGTTTTTTGAGCTCCGTTTCTGCCAACCCGAGACTTGACTAATCAGTCTTGAAATTAAGATCAGCACAAGGTTTCTGTTCATAGTTTCCGAGTAAAAATGGAATGGTGATGTGTCAGGCACTGGAAGTTCTCATTCTATACCTGCCATAATTGAAACTATGGCAGCAATATTTCTAGAATCACAGGCACCCTTTTAGCTGCCTGATGTTTTCAATTCATAATAAAACTGAAATAATTTCCGCAGGCTTCAAAAACCAGATAAAAAGGACGCTATATTAACATGTTAAGGACAAACCTGAGCTTCATGATATAGACCGGCATATAAAGATGCATAAAAATACTCATTCCCCTGTCCATTTGAAAATGCAGTGGCAAACTGCAAACAAAATTCCAATGCTTTAGTCAGATGCAATAGTCCAAACAAATGCAAGCAGGCCCATATGCAGAAAATAGAAAAAAAATAACCGATAAGGAATCTCTTAATATAACTATTCATCATCAAGAGTTTTGAGCACTATCACTCTAGGAAGTTGATACTCTTATAGATCCTAGAAGATAAATGTTTGGAATAAAAAAAAGATGAAGAAAATCAATCCCATCTAGGAACTGAGCACAGTAGTGATAGTGACTGTCCATAGACGGTACGTAATCTGTAGACTTTGAATAGACAATTTATAAAGTGGAATCTAAAGCTCTTCAAAATTACTCATGGTCCAGATAAATTGACTCCATTCAAGAACCATTGATGGAGGTGATTTGTTGAAGTTCAGCCTTTACCTTGTTCTTGAAGATTTTGTTTCATTACATAAAACTTCAGTTGACAATCCACTAGCTTAGTTTAGACCTTTCAATTGAGGATGGTAAAGAAATGATTGAGGTTGTATACGTTAAAAAAGGATTCTTAAACATGGGATATCTTAGAACAGATCCTTGAACGTATTCTAATGGATATGGATTCTTAAGCATTATACAATATAATGAATGCTTCATTAATAAATATTGAATAAAATCAGATATTAGAACACCAAATAGTATCACAAAAACGTATTAACCCAGAAAAAGGATTAAGATGAATGGCCGACCTTACAAACTTCAAAAATAGTTCAAAAAAGAAGCATTGGAGTTGGATAAACAGTCCACACCTTTTCTGGGTCACCACCATCTTTAAACATATTATAAGCTTCCCGCATAACGGGTCTTGGATCCCTACCGACCTGCATTCAGCTAGTAAGCTGCTTCACTTGAAAACATGTGAATAGATGCCCTTGGTATAAGTTAACCAAATTACCAAGCGCAATTACCTCCACTCTTGGTTATAAACCAAAACCTATACATGCATCATAATATAAATTACATTGCTGTGACGACTCCATGAACAACTGGTCAGAACTCAGCATGCATATATGCTGCTTCTCATGTATCAGAAAGCTTCCAATGGAAGATGGTGAAGTGAGGCGCCATTTTTATGCACATTACATTTATTAGAAAGCTTCCTTTCAGCAAAGCTTTGATTACCATCTTACTTATCCTCATAATTTGGTGATTTTCTCCAGTAAACACTCTAGAGTAACTTACCTCAAGAAATCGCTTCCTTGCTTCATCAACTCCATACAATTGAGCTTCACACAGAAAGCACCATATTGACTCCTCCGTGTCATTTGGATTCTGTGCAACATCTATTCGAAACTGCTCTGCCCCTTCTTCAAACCTATTGATTTGGTCACCACATTTCAATCCCTTCAAATTCATCTCAAATACTCAAAGAAAGAAGCAGTTTATTCTCCTAATAGTGTCCATGGAAACTGGTGAAAATTTGCGAAGAAAATTATGCGGCCGACTAATTGAATTAGGCTTTCCCATAAGGCAATTTTCCAAATTGATATCGAAAATGAGAATTCATTCTCTTTTCCAATTTTTTCCCGGGAACCAAACAAGAAATAAAGGAAAAACAATCATTAAGGAATTGGTACCTATCAACATAGTAAAGTGATAGCCCCCTCTGCCAAAGATCTAAATCACAGCCACCACATAACTTCATCATTATACTCATTATATCAACATTCTCAACAACCCTCAGAAAACAAACAATCAAAATACCTAGAAACTTACATGCTTTTTGACGAGTATCCAACTCAATTGCCTTGTCAAACTCCACTAAAGATCCCAAAGCATCACCCTTCACAACAGCGACAGAACATTTTAGAATGGAACAGACAAAACCATAACGATAAAGTACTCAAAATTAACCTGTCTAAAGAGTAGCATTCCACGTCTAATAGCCATAACAGCTTCACGGGCATTGTTGTTGCCTCCTGTTAAGGCATCCCAAATGCCAGACACTGAAGGGAGAAACAGTCTCCTGGTGAAAGTTGGTAGTGGGTTTTGCAGGTTGTGAATTCTTGAAGGAATGTTAGTGCTGAAGAAGTGTGAGTTGGTGTGAGTTTTCGGTGAAAATGGAAGTGTAGTAGTTAAAGAGTGCTTATGTTTCGAGGATAAAGAGGGTGTGGGAAACATGTGATTTAAGTTATGGGTTAAAGCCATTGATTGAAGTAACAGTTGAAATGTGTACACCAATTTGACTGTTGAAAGTTGTGAATGTTGAGGTTGTTTGGGTTCCTGTCTTCTTTGGTTTTGGACTAACTGTGGGAAGTTGCTGGGAGAGAGATAAGGAGCTAAAAGGTAGCCGAACGTAAGGCTTAAACTTGACTTGAGAGATTTAATCTTTGAATGGCAATTCATTATTTCATCAAAGCTGGTTTTTAATCTTTTGATGAAAAGACCGTTTCTTTGGACACATATGCGCTAAGGATAGAGCCATCCTAGCAAATCACATGATGGCCTCTACAAATTATGTGCAAAGGTGGTTCACGTAACCAGGTTGCGCCAATGCAAACAGCCATGAGGACCATGACTGTTCTTGAAAAAATCCGTACGTGTTTGTGCTGAAGATGACATCCTGTGAGCCAGAGCTCAAGGTGCCAATCATCCTTGAATTAACTCTCCTGACAATAAACTACAACTCAATTGCCAAGATGTCATATATCCCCACTCACTGCAAGGACAAGATTCAGGTTCGAGTTTCCTTGTAATTACAAAAAGAAAAATCCAAGAACAGACTCTCCTGACAACGTTTGAATAACTTTTTCAAAACACCAATGAATGACATGAAAATAAAAGTGAAACCTAAGAGTAAATGGCGGCCGCCAGTTAATATGATCGTCTTGGTTCAAAATACATGCCTCCAAATTGTTTTAGTGGGCTCACTTAATTGGTTGGGTGACAGAAAATAAAGTGAAATGTCAAGCATCCATGTTAACCTTTAAAGTTTTCCATATTTCCAACCAATTCGTGACGCTTCCTTGTTATATACAAGATAAAGCGAAAAACATCCAGCGATGAAGTTTAAGATGATGACAAACTGGTTCCATTGAAGATCCGAGAGTTATTAGCAATAACAAGAGAATGGAGTTGGCACGTCTGGAAGAGAACTTCCGACGTGAACAGATCAGTGAAAGTAATATCAGCATGTTCTTGTTGAATGATTTTTGCCTTAACTATTTCTGGAAGAAAATCCTGTTTACAACATCAACGGGTAGAGCATGAGCTGGATCTATGGCTTTCAATCCTGGATATTCAAGAAGCGAAAGCCCTGTATCACAATAAACAGGAAAACACTGTGAAAACATGACATCTGCAGCATGGATAAAAAATTAAACCAGGGATATGGCACAAAAGTAAAGTGAAACAATTGACCACAGTGCTTTACCATGCGATGCTATGCCAAATGTGAAATGTGAAATAACCGACAACACCACTTGCTATTCTACACTGGATGAGCATGCCATTCTTTTACTGAATATCAACAATCAGGTAGGGGCTTAGTAGGAGACCATATTATCCTAATCTAAGGGAAAGAAAAAGGTGGTTTCTAATTGCAATTCAAAGGCTATCTAGTTATTCAGCCTCGAAGTTCTAGATAAAATATGCAGCCTGAAGCTTTTCACCCCTCTTGCAAAAGGTCTTACTAGATGAAGAAGATGACAACACAGCCAAAGCTTTAATCGAAACTAGTTGGGGCCAGCTATATGGATCCTCTTGCTAAGATGAAGAAAAGACAAAATACATAACCAGAAGAGATGTCCAAGATGCTGACTTCAGGAATTTAAGATAAGAGTGAGTAGCCCTGGTGGCTTTTAAGAAATATTTGAAAAGGGAGGGAATAAAAAGCCATTAAACTACCAGCTACTCCAAAATATGTATGGTATACATCAACAGCATCTTCTGGTCTATCTGAAATTCCTCCATTTTCTGTATCCTGTAAATTTCAACAAACAAATATTAGCAAAAGCCATCTTCATTAGAACATTAACATCTTATGGTTCTCTTGATTATTCTGGAATCATAACCATAGTCCATTCAGTTCAAAACTGACCTGACAGTTTAAAATGAACTTAACTAGCTTGTCCTTGTTAATCCAATGAACTCTGTCAATCATAATCAGGCTGGAAAGAACCCACCATGAATAGCAAACCTGAAGAGATTAAATAGTCATAATCAGAAGAATAAATAAGAATCTTGGGAGAAAGGTACTTGTATTTGGAAGAAATACCCACATCAGGAAGTTTCTCAGGGCGACCATTTAGACCTCCAGATTTGACTTGGCGTTCACATAGCCACCAGCCAAGGAGGTCCTTGTCAACATGATGCAGAGACCCCGTAATAGCCAGAGCACCCACACAACAGAAAACTACAGTCACAAAGAAGACAAAAAAAATAAACATACTTGAAATTAAATTATATCCAGACATGCAACATCAAAAATCCAAGGTGATCAAACTCCAATTTGCAGTCTTCAAGAACATAACTTCATCGAATGATTCAGAAATTTTTTAATTGCAGTTAACATGAAGTTTCATGCAGCGGTCTACACAAACTTAGTAGCTCCAAATACCACTCAATTACTCGTGCTTTCATTCTCTTCCACTAGCTCCCACCTAGATGGAGTTTCAACATAATTTGAGAAATCAATGAACTATTTGCTAATCTCACCTCATTTTAATTAAAGCTTATGACAACCTCACCTTCCATTGCTAAATTAGAAAATTTGATTGAGTACAAATATCAAAACGTTGGTGATCAACAGGCACTTCTTTTACCAAATAAATGATCAAAATGATGCAGGTTCACATGGTGGATCATGGATGCAGTTTTAATCGTCACCCAAGACTACGAAACTGAAGGGTGAAAATTCTGCTCTTATGTTTCAGAATAAAATTCCAAGTGTGATGTGGAACATACTCTGGCCAGCATGAGACTCTCCGCCAGGAGTGCATCCAAATCCTCCATCCACATTTTTGCAACTTGCAATGTAATTCACTGCCTTCTCCATGTTTATTTTATCCAGACAATGCAAAATAGACAGACAACATATTGCAAGATATGAAAACCTGGAGGAAAAAAAAGATGAAAAGAACTGGCCTGTGAGATAATGTTTTACAAGTATAACTACTCATTCCAAAAAGCATGAGAAGCTGATTAGCTCAGATAGAAGGGACTGGTAGAAAGAATACCGAGAGTCTACTTCTCCCCACTCGTCCCCAGAAAACGATCCATCTTCATTTTGCAGCCCACTAATATCTGGCATAAAGTTGAGCAAACCAAGATATGGATGGCCTGTGATATGTTGAATTGGTATGCTTAATATCTCAATTCTGTTAGCCTCATATTTTTTTTAAGTCATCGACCCAAAAAATGAATGTTCATTCAATAAAAAAAAGCGAGGACAACATTAAATTTCAAACAATTGGTACTTTAGTGAACTAAACAGCTATTTATGTAAACAACACAACGAAGTTGCCATATTATAATGTACTTACTCTTTATGTGAACTAAATTGCAGCGAATGATGAGTTCCTAATAAACAAAATCTCAAATAAAGGACGAACAATCCCAAAGCTCACTAAAGAAAACCAAATAAGGATACAATTTGCAACTTTATCAGCATCCAGAACATTTAGCTTATCAAAAAGGGCCAAAACTTGTACAGCACTAAGGGTATACAGCATATGGGGGTCATGCCCAATATTACCAGCAAATCCACCTGCATAACAAATAGCAACACCACCCGTCTTACTGTAAGGATTCAATCTTTTTACTTGTTTATCTTCCAAGTTACATGACAAATATGTAAGAGCAGATAAATGAGATTGGTAATTAATGAAAGCAAACAAAGTCAAGTTCTTGACAAACCAGACTCATGTTGGCACTTCATGATCCATTCAATAACTTCATTTGAATCCAAAGCATCAAGCTTTCCTAAAAGATCCAAAGTAGCCAATCCCCAATACGCTCCATTCATTCTTAAATGCTCCAACACCACCGATTCGAAACTATCCTTTCTCTACGCCCACAATGGAACATAACCAAAAGATTCAAACTTTAGTAACTTTATTACACACAAAAATAAAAAAAGACAAATACTTATAGTGAAAAACAAACCTTTTCAACTGATAAAATGTATTTAACATGTTTATCAACCACTAACTCTCCCATCTGTCATGATCATACAATTGGTCAAGTTGAGGTCTTTACAAGTTCAGAAACTAAGAAAATTAAATTTTGACAACAACCCACAAGTTTATTCTGCAGAAATAAACAGATGAAAAGTGATGTAAGCTAGAAAAGGAGAGTTACCAGTGGAAATCTTGGTGGTGAATCAGAGGGAGGGAGGGAGATGGGGACCGGGGAGGGCGAGAGATCAGAGAAGCTAAGCTAGAATCTTTTATGGCCTATTCTTTTTTATGTTTTTTGGGCTCATGGAGGCCCATTTAATGTGTGAAGATTTTTTATGTGGGTTTGTTTGCAGCAATTACTTTGAGCAAGATTGGCCCATTACACGGTAGGAAAACAACATCATGAAAATAGAGAAAAGGAAAATGTTTATTAGATTAATTGCACTTTATTTCTTCTTTCTATTTTTAATTTTATATTTTAATTTTATTTATTTATATCCTTTACTGTATTTTTTTTTTATTAATGTGATCTCTCCTATATGATTTTATCATTTTTTTCATAAAATGTAAATACATGCCAATAGCATAGAATTTTAGACTTCAAACTTTCAAAAAACAAAAACGTTAGAAATAATGAGAAAGATCAGGAAAATATAGAAATAGTTTTTTAAAAAATTAATAAGAATTTTGGAGAGCCAAAATATCAGATTGAAAAATGGAAAATCGGAATTGAAAAATGGGAAATTACTAAGAAAGTAGGATTCATTTATTTATTTATTAAATGCTTTGTGCATGCATTTTATTTTTTAATATGCTGGAATATATTAGAATCTATATTATTTTTTTGGGTAAGGGAGAATGAATTAAAATTATAGATAGATTACATAAACCATGTTGCTCATAGATTAAGTTAGTGAATATGATACCAATGGGAAGAAACTTAAATACCCATACCCAAAGACAACATTTTAAATTGCATCTCTATGACTACAATTATTTTCAATCAAATAAGATTTCGTGAATAATTATTATTTTTTAGCTATTTATGAATTCTCCTTGATCTAGAAAATAACCTGTTTTATTTTTATGGAATATTTTTTCTGATTAATTTTGTTATTTTGATTCAAAATAAGAAAATATTAACCTAATTGAAGGAGGAAAGTGAGGGATTAACTCACACGTAGAAAGTAAACAGAAAAAAGAAAAATATTATAGATGAAAAACAAGTGCATTAAAATTAAAAACAAATGGGTAAAATTGATAAACTTAAAATTCTCAGGGGCAGAGGGCAACCTTCCCTCTAATTTTGTTATTTTAATGCTTTTTTTTAATAAAATATTTTATAAATAAATTTACTTATAATATTATCTAATTATTTTAACTATCACATCCATCTCATTATTATTACTACTATTATTTTTTAATATAAAAAAGAAAAAATATCATAGATTATTAAACATTATACAACAGAAACAACTTGCTTGCAATGAAGACTAAGTCTCGTTCATGTTTTTCCAACAATAAAAATCAAATCATTCATGTCAAGACTAGAGGATATAAAAATTATTTAAGTTTATCTTCATTAAGATAAAGTCTGGGAGTTTGCTTCAAATGGCAGTTTATAAAGATTTAAAATTTTTTTGAGTCATTTTAATATTCTAATATTAAGAATAAATTTTAAAAAATTAATATATTTTTTTAAAAAAACAAACATCTACAGAATGAACACAGAATTTTCCAAGGAAAGTGCAGGTGGGGGATAAGAAGAACAGAAAAGAGCTCGTGGTCAGCAATGGCTGGCTGGTTTCCTGTCCGAGGTTGACCTATGAATATGTACACAATTCATGATTTTGATTGAGTAATTGTTTTTGCGTTATAATTGATAAATTTACTATTCAAAAAAATTCAATTAATATTTTTAAATTATTTTAATATATTACTATTAAAAATAAAAAATATTATTTTAATTTAAAAATACTCTTAAAAACAACGGTCGCAGGCCCACGTTAATGCAAAAATATTTTTGTTTGTTTATTTTTTTCAAAAAAAATACGCAATGCGTCACTTCAGTCGACAAAGACGTGTGATAATGCACTCTAGTGGGCAAGTTGCATTGACATTTATAGCAAATGCCCCCTTATATATTTCTTTTTTAAGATCTAGCTGCAGAGTGAGATTCAAATGCCATTGTACCTGACTGCAGAGCTAAGTTCGAGGAGCCTTGAATCTGATAAAAATATCATATTTAATAGCATTGGACCGACTGGAAGGCAATTGAGTTTGGCGGCCCAAATAGCATTGAATAGAGCTACGATTTAAGAATATTGGATGGTAGCATTAAATAGAGCTACGATTTAAGAGTACTGGATGATAGTCAAGTTATATCTAATAACATTTTTTTTTACTATAAATAGCAAAAACAATGTTGCTCGGTACTATAATATTATCTATATTATAAACAATCTACTCTATAGGATGCTTCATCTTATATCTGGTTGTGGAGCTAGAATTAAACCTAAAAAGTCTTGGATTTAATTCACAAGGCAATTTATTGGTAGGGCTACTCAACCAGACTCAAGAATGTTAAATAGTATCAAAATAAAATCTAACAATATTTTTTTTATTAAAAATAGTAAAGAAAACATCTCAGTATTATCTTCAATGTAAATATTATATGTTTATATTGTAGTTCATAGTTCAAATATTCTATATATATAAATAATATTTTTTTTGGATTTGATTACTAGTCAGATTCAATAATATTAAATTTAACAATTAAATTAAACTAAACAACACTTTTAATTAAAAATAAAAAAAAAACAAAGCTTTTAGTGACAATTATATATTTATGATATGGTTAATAATATAATAAGTTTATATTCTTAATATCTTTATAATGTTTTTTCCACAACTTTTAAAGTACAGTGTGATGCCGTTAATCTAGTAACTATTATTATTATTATTATTATTTATTAAAATGTTGGATTAATATTGAAAAGAATTTATTCTCTTGAAAGATATATGTTTAAGAACAGACAACCCCAAACAAAAACTTCCTCACAAGCTCATGTAAAAATACTTTATATTATAAATAAAAATAAAATATATTTTCAAACCAGTTTACTTTTAATGGGCTTAAATCAAATCAAAGGTAATATAATACAGTGAAAGGATATTAAAGTGGAGGGTGCCGTTAAACTACCGAAACCGGAGGCTGGCTTTCCACAGTGAAATCTATCACAATGGGGGATCCATGGCAGGTCTTGTCACAGTCCACAAACATAATATTTTCTATGTGCTCTAAATCAGCAAACTTTATAAGAAGGATAGCACAAACAACGGTGCTATCCTTCTTATAAAGTTTACTTTTTTTTACTTCAAGTGTTGTCAAAATTCGGTGGCCTGCTAATCTTGAACCCCACTCTGATTAAGAAAGCGTTTCACACTGTATTTTTTAAAATATTTTTTTAATTTTAAATTAAAAAAATTAGAAATCTTTAAGAACAGGATTGTAACGCAATGTTAAATAAATTTTAAAAAATATTAAAAGCAATGCTAAACAAACTTAAATCACTATGGTAAAGCTACCCAGCCACAAAGAACAAAGGAATTGGAAAGGAGGTCGTCTCGAAGTAATCATTAATCTGGATAAGTTATTTTTTGTCTAATTAGTAGTCAAGGTAGCTAATCAAGTCTAGTTTTCTTGAAGATAAAGATGAATATATCGAATGAATTTTAATGAGTAGATTGATAAACTAAAGTCTATTTATTTATTATTTTTGCTAAAAACAGACCAGCCTCTCCTTGATTAACTATCCTGTTAAATGGAAATTGACCATAGGATAATTACCTACTTATTGCTCTTGCATCTTTCAAAGGTGTAATAAATACTTCAATTAAGGCAAACACGGTTGTTCTTATGAAGTTGACTATTCCTTCATCTACAGTCTGTCAAATTTTGGTGACTAGCTATGGCTCACCAAGCAGCCATTTTTGAACACCAACTGAAGCTCTGGTGGTACGCGTGACAACGAAAGGGTAAACATGCAATCAACACTTATCCAATACTTCACTACTAATCAAGTAATTAGCTGCTTAATTAACAAGTAACAGACCAAAAGCTACTCTTATCACCATTTTATAATTTTTATCGTTAATATGGAGCTCTTGTTAACTAAGGCTGGATATAAATTAAGCAGATCCATTACATTAACCAGTTAGGAAACTAATGTAAAATTAATTAAACATTACCCGTAAATTAATTTACTAGATTAATCAACGTTTCAATAAAAAGCATTGATTTATGCTAAAAGAATTTCTCGTAATTCATGATAAATTAAACGAATAAAGCAAATCCCTCGTAGATATATTAAATTAGTAGCTATAAGACTCTAATGATTTAGATTTAACCTGATTTTGATTTACTATTGGTCAGCTAGATCGATTTATTTTTTTTAATTTAAAAATATTATTTTAATAAAAAAATCTTGAGATTTTTCATCTACATAATCTGGATCATATTTTAGATTAATAAAGGATTAACAATTTGCACTATGATTATAAATCAGGACCCAACCAACTCATACATGAGTTTCTCATCTGATAAATTAAACAAAAAGCTTGCTAAGATTCTAGTCAAGGCAGGCATATATATAAAAGAAAACACAATTTTTGAAAATCAGTGGGGGGGGCTGTGGATAATGACAGGTGAGGCAATAATCCAGGCAGAAAAGGGTATGAACAAGTGAGTACCAAGTGGGTTTGGTGGATGGCCTTGGTTGTTTTGAGGCCATGTTAGACTGGCTAATATCTATTATGGCGTGCCATCCAATACCAGACTAGAATTTCTAGGTCAACCTTTTCAACGTCAACCCCAACTTTGTAAATTCTGAATCATAAAACGTGGTACTAGGATTGAACAAGAGGCATATGGTTCCATTCTAGAGCACACGGGAACTGCTGTTCTTAGCTTTTTCGATAACGCGTACAGGTGTCCTAAAACCTATGACCAATATGATGTTGGTGATGAATTATATATGAAGAAACAAAGACTTGATCACTGATTCTTAAACAACGTGTGCGTTGAAGAAAATCAAAAATAAAAGAGAGATGTTTTGTAGTTACATTCAAGGTTCCGATATATGATTAGATTCTCATAGAAACTCAGTTTTTTTTTTTCTCTCTCTTATAAAATATTCTTGAAGAGTTTTTACAGAAGTAAAAACCCATCTAAGTAATACTTGTCCTTTGCAAGAACATAGCATAATTTTCTACAAACAACATAACTTTTTTTTTTCAATTTTTTTTATAATAATATTCATTGACAATAACTCCTTTATATTGTCTCTTTGTGCGATCAAGTACTATACTTGAATCCTCTTACCAATACCTCACATACCACATTACATATTTTTTTACATGTTTCTCAGAATTGGGGTTGGAAATTAAATTCAAAAGCATAGACTTCACAATTGTGTTTTTTTAATTAATTAATTAAGCCAAGACCCTACCACTTGCAATTCTGTATATAAACTCAAGGAGAGCTGCACCTAAACCACAATCACATCTTATAGACCAAGACAAAGACATCAGTGCCCAAAGTCTGAGCTTTTGTCATTCATTCTTTAGGCTAAACCACAATCACATCTTATAGAACAAGACAAAGACATCAGTGCCTAAAGTCTGAGCTTTTGTCATTCATTCTTTCCTTTCAAGAAATTAACTTGATTAGCAAATCATGGAGGGCTTAATGGATCGTCATGAGTTTAACATATTGCCAGAAGGCTGTGTTTCTACAATTCTCTCCTTTACATCTCCACAAGATGCATGCAAGTCTTCATTGGTTTCAACTATATTTCAAGCAGCTGCAGATTCTGATGTAGTTTGGGAAAGATTTTTACCTACTGATTATCAAGATATAGTCTCAAGGTCAATGGTCCCTTTCAAGTTTTCTTCAAAGAAAGAGCTTTTTCTTCTTCTTTGCAGCTCTCTTCTCATAGATGGTGGCAGAAAGGTAAAGATTACTTATCCTATTAAAATGGGTAAAGCATAACTTTAAGAGATAGGATTTATTTAATCTTAACATCATATCTCATATATTTTCTGATGCAGAGCTTCAAGTTAGAGAGATCATCAGGCAGGAAATCCTTTATGCTATCTGCAAGAGATCTTCACATAACATGGAGCGATGAATCCCTGTATTGGCACTGGGCTTCTCTACCTGAATCAAGGTCGATTTTCTTTCTTAATTAATTATCTCGAGAGCCAGCTTAAAACAAAGGCAGGTGTGTGCATTGATATATATATTTACAGTTCGCTTTCTTCCTTTGTTCCAGGTTCTCTGAAGTGGCTGTGCTTAGAACAATGTGTTGGCTAGAGATTGTAGGCATGATTAAGACTCAAATGTTAACCCCAAACACAAAATATGGAGCATATCTTGTTCTAAAAATCACTGATCGTTCATATGGGCTTGATTTAATGCCATCAGAGATATCAGTTGAGGTAGGTAATAATCAAGGATCAAGAAACACAGCCTATTTACGTCTTGCCAAAGAACATGCCAGGAAAAAACAGATGGAGAGCCTGTTTTATGGGAATCGCATGCAGGTATTAGAATCAAGGGTGGCGGAAGGGGAAGGAAGAGTCCCAAGTGAAAGAGATGATGGGTGGTTGGAGATTGAGCTGGGAGAGTTCTTCAGTGGTGAAAACGATGAGGAAGTAAAGATGAGTTTGATGGAAGTAAAAGGTCATCATTTGAAAGGTGGACTTATCATTGAAGGGATTGAAGTGAGGCCTAAACACTAACAAAAATATGAATATTTTTGTTAGTAGATACTGTTCCATTAAATTCCTTTTCAAATCAGCTACTTTTCCTTCAAAGGGGATAAAGATTAAAGATCAAGAAGACAACAAAATGCTAAAGTTTTGTGCTATCTTTTTTTTTTTTTTTTATCAACATTTGATTCTTTCATTTGATTCCTGCATACCAAGAGAAAAAGTAAAGTAAAATTATGTGTATAGGTTTGTTGCTTCTTGTTCCATCGATGTATCTAGACTCTCTATTGATTCTTTCCTTTTTCATGTTCCGAATACAATGCAACCAGTCATTTGCTTGACATCACAAGGAATTACATACCACTTGGATCTCTTTTTGTTCATGAAGCTATCCCACTTAACTAAGTTACATTTGGTAACATGGTGCGGTGTAGTTGAATCTCTATTTAATTAATTAATGCATATTTCAGTATTTTTGTACGAGTCCCACAAAAAATTATCTATTAAAATCTTGATTATAAAATAGCTATAATTTGTTTATTTTCTTAAATCTATTTTTTTCAAATCACAACAATAAAAACTATCATAATATCAAATATACATTTCCTAACTAACTTGTAATATTTATGACTTATAATTTTCTCCATTTGAAACAAATCATTGAGTTGATATAAAATCATTGAATATATCTCGTTTACAATTTTAAGTTTTTTGAATTTAAAGTGATTCTGTAATTAGTGTTTTTTTTTTAATCGAGTAGTAATGATGATGGATATAGTTTTATCATCTTCCTTTGTTTAATTAAAGTAAAAACTCAAATAAAATAATTATGAATTTGTGTAAATTTTAATTCTAAATAACTTTTCATTTTAAAAAATATATCTGATGATTAATTTAAAATCATTATAGAGGTCTACCTCAACGAATTGACTCTTAGATAGAGAAAAAAATAAAATTCACATAAAATTATAAGAGGGTTGCTGTGATTATCCATTGTTAAAATTGCTCATGGCTTCTATAAAGAGAATTCAATCCATGAACACGTGAACCTTAGATGCCCAGAGATGTCCTCATGTGTTCAATTCATGTCGTCATGACAAGAACAAACAAGAAAAATGTCGTCACAATAACGATATAAATTGACTTGTGTGTGCTATAAATACTGCCATGCTCTTCGATGCATGAAACAATAAAATAAAACCCAGCAATATTCTGTACATTCTTTTCAAGACCCATTTCTTGTCCCTTTGTAGACTGTCCAGCATTTGTCTAGATTTTTTTTTTATAATAAAAAAACCCTATGAACTTGGATCTGTTGCCTGAAGATTTTGTTTTCACACATGATATCATCTGCTTCTCCTCGTGATGCTCGATGTGCTTCCCCTGTTTCCACGTTATTGGTTAGGTCCTAATCTGAGTCAGACACAGCGTGGCAGAGATTAAGAAGATATTCTTTCCAGATTAGCATTCCCATTGCCTAATTACTCTTCAAAAAAGGAGTTGTTTTTCAGGTTATGTAGCCCATATTTAATTGATGGGAGTAGAAAGGTAAAGTTAGTTTGAGCATAGCTCTTTTTTTTTTTCATATATATATATATGTATTTATTTATTTATTTATTTGACAAAGAAAAAATATATCAACATGGTTGATCGCGTAGATAAACAAAGTTTAAGTTAGAATTTAATACATAAAATTTTTCAAATCTCAGTGTAGGGTGGTTGATATTCATAGCTTGATTTGGAAGCATAGTAGTGAGGGTTTTACATTACATTGTCAAATTAAGATAATTATAAATTACTAACAATATTAATTAATGTGCATAATCAGAATATATACTACCATTAGTTGTAGTAATAGAGTATTGAAAGGCTACAAGCCAGCAGGTAAGAGTCGGGGAAATCCGAAAGTTGATTAAAATAAATGATCAAATTAAAGGGTTGAAAATTAGACTTACAAAAATTGAAAATGGTTGTAGTATGTAAAACTGATTTTTTTTCCTGGAAATTCAAAAATATTGATTATAGTTTTAAAACTTAATTTGTGATGAATATAAGATAAGATCTAGATTATGATTTGGGAGGATTGATCCTAGTTTTAATTTTTAATAAAATATTAAAACAATGCTGTAGACCATGCTTTTTTTCTTTTTCTAGCAAATTTAATGTTCTTGATTATGATTAAGAAAGTGAAAAGGGCAGCAAATTTTAGGGGGGGAATGAAAAGGGCTGATACAATCGACTTTAAAATGGGGGTTAGATTAAAATTATGTGATGGCATTTAAAGTTTAATAAAAAAGTTAATGAACATAATTGATTTTTTTTTAAAAAAATCTTAAATTGAAAATGATAAAAGAGAAAATCTAGGGAGGTTTTGAATTCATCTAAAAATTATAGTGCGTTTAAAAATAAAAATTAAATAAAATGTTAAGAATGCTGAAAAATTATAAAATACAAAAAAGATTTTGAACTAAAAAATACATATGAACTGAAAAATTTATAATACTGAAGGAATAAATAGTAGTATTTTATTAGTTACTCTCTAGATTTAATTTTTTAAAAAAATAATACAACTAAGAAAAAAAATTATTATATAGAGATATTTTTATTATATTTAGTGGATTATGGTTTTAGTTTTCTCTTTGAATTTTTTTTTTCAAAGTATATCCATAAAATAATTAATAAAATATTACTAATTATTTTTTAAACACCATATAATTTTCCTACCGACATAATCAAGATACATGCACAAACTGATAGAATCATGCCATACTTTTTTCAATGCTTAAACTACTTTATAAAAAACAATGACAATGTGTGGTAGAATGTATTAAAATACAATATAATAGAAAAACAAAATAATTAACTTTTCTTTTTCTATCAAGTTGCATTTTATTACATTCTGCCGACCAAATCAATAATTACTTTTAATTAGTTTAAGAATATATTAATTTCCAATAATATTATCAAAGATTTTAGGACAGTTTTTCTCAAGCTTGGTGATCCATGCACAGGATGTATGGATCAATCTTTAGCTTGGAGAAAGAAAAATACCACAGTTGACAGCACTGCCAAGCCGAATTTGGATGCACAGGCAGTGGAGCAAATATGAATTCTAGCCTTCAGAATTCATATTTGTTCCATTGCCTGTGGATGCATATGTGGGCTTAATTAAAATGTTTTTGCACAGTAAATCGTCGGGGAGGCTATAAGTTTTTTTTTTTTTTTTACAGCACACCAGCTTGAATTCGAATGGCTCTTTAGGCCTTCAAGCTCACCAGGAAAAAAAAATCAGTTTTAATGTGTAAAAATCAGTTTTTGAATTCAATTGTTCTTGAGTGGAATCAAGATGGTTGATAATTCCAAAGCTTATTCTAAATTTAAATATTTTCCTGAGTTTGACCGTTGCCAGCTTAAGCTTCTTTTTTTCTCCCATTCAACTCTAGCCTTTTTATTTGAAAATCAATGATACTCTTGCAAATTCAATAGCTTGAATATCATGAAAATGTAATTTTGCATGATTGATATAAAATGGTAATAATTATTTCCCTTTTATGATGAACAGAAGAATCTCATTGGAAAATTCAACAGGTAAGAAATGCTACATTTTGAGTGAAAGGGAGCTTTCAATTACGGGGGCTAACAATTCTCTCTACTGCTCCTGGAAACCCCACAGCCAGTCAAGTTTACGCTTCACCATAATTTTCAGAAGAAAATCACCACCATAGTTAATATTTTAAACCAAGCATGGTTTGATTTTTTTATTTTTTTTCAGATTTTCAGAAGTTGTTGAACTTAGAGCAATTTGTTGGTTACAGATCCATGGCAGAATCAATACCGAGATGCTATCTCCAAAAACAATATATGGGGCCTATCTAATGGTTAAATTTACTGGTCGAGCTTATGGATTAGACACTCTACAATCACAAATATCAGAAGAAGGTGGCAACTTCAAATCACTTGGCAAGGTTTATTTACGCCGGCGCCAAGACAAAAAATAAACAAGCTTGTTTCTTGAGTAGGACCAGAACTTTAAGATCAAAAATTCATGAAGTGGAAGGATGTAATTACCTTCAAGAACGTGAAGATGAATGTATTGAGATTGAACTGGGGAGTTTTTACAATGATGGGGGTGATGCTAAGGAAGTGGAGATGTGCCAAAGAGAGGTGCCTGGTGAGCATTTGAAAGGTGAGCTTATTGTTGAAGGAATTGAGCTTAGGCCTAAGAAAATGGTGAAGGTTTGAGCTTAATTCTTGCCCAGATTGTGAGTTGATAACCTCAAATTGTGTTTTGATCAAAATACTGTCCCATATAATTGGCAGCAAAGATATATAAAGCCATAATGGTGACAGTAAAGTTGAAGGCTAGAAATTATAATTATCATGGGCATGAATTTCCAGAAAATGTTGCCCAAATGATCTCTGAAGCACAGTACTGTTGAGTGTGTTCTCGACCACAGTGTTGAAATTGCTCCAAAACATTCTCATTTGAGAACCCCAAGGATTCTGGGGCATGTTTTTGTGACATTTTCCTTCATGTTCTTCAGTCTGTTTGGATTTTTTGTATTTTGTCTTCTGAATTCTGGAGCCCAAGGAAGCTCGGGCTACTTCAAATTCTTCTTCTTCTTTTTTTGGTAATTATATGAACGTATTTTATATACATCTTAATTAATTCTTTGAGATTTTAATGTTAATAATTAAATAAATCTACAATGACTCTAATTTATTAAGTAAATTCAAACTAGTTGACCGATTTCAAGTTGGCTACCACTTCAAATTCTTAAACGGGGGAGTGGAAGTTCTATCTATGGCTCTTGTCAAATTTACTTTAACAGCGAAAATGGCTCACCGAAAAACCTGCCAGGTTTGATGCAGGGAAGGAGACGAAGCCCGAAGCAAGCTTCAAGACGTATATGGGCCTTTCCACAATATTTTGATGAGCTTTATGAGTTGTTGATGATGGGCTGCGTTAATAGTATATTTTTTTTTTAATTAATATAGATGTTCAAATTTTATATTTATTTTAATTAATTTTATAGATTCTGAAGTTAATAATTATATAATTATTAAATTAAAAATTATATAATTCTTTTAGTAGTCATCAGTATTAGCATTAGTAACATACTTAATTTTATTCATTGTGCTGCTGCCAAAAAAGTATTATAATTATTTATATATAAAAAACCATAATAATACTAAATATAAATTAGAAATAATATTTTTTAAAATAAAAAACTTAAAAAAATATAATAATACGGAATATAAATATAAACATTAAATTAATTAAATACAAATTTCTTTTCTAGAAAAAAACATCATGTATCAACATTAGAATGCTAATAAAAGTGTTTGTATTCTAAGATAGAAAGATTTTTTTCAAAAGGATTCCCCTTCCCATAAAATCAAGAAATTCCTAAAAAAATAGAAAAAAATAAAATTGATTAAAAATATATTTATTTTTCTAAAAAAAATCATAAAAGAGAGGATATTTTTTTTAAGGGTTTTGGAATGTTAAACTTTTAAAAAGGGCTTTTATTATAGGCCAAACTTCAATAAATTTTATAAACAAGTTATGAAATTTAAAGTATCAATAATTGGTAGTAGAATTCCCATAAAAATGTTTGGATTTTTAGATATAAATATCTTCTTTGAAAGGATTTAATTCCTATAAAACCAAAAAATTTCTTAAAAAGAAAATTAACTTAAAAAAATATTTTATTTTCTTAAAATAGATCATGCATTAACATTCCTCGTATGGCGAATAAAAGTAAAAGTGCTTGTATTCTTACATAGAAAGATGTTTTTATCAAAATGATTCCACTTTCCATAAAATCAACAAGTTCTTAAGTAGGTTTGATAGCTATTTTATGATTAAAAAAAGACAGAAATAATAGAGATATAAATATGTTTAATTTAAGAGACAAAAATAAAGATAGTCACTTTTTATTGTAAACAAAAATTAAAAAAAATATCTAATTATTTTTCTAAAAAATATGTAAGTTTGACAATAATACATATTAAAAATAAAATAAAATTTTTAATATTTTATTTTATTTTGTTCACCCTCAACCAAATAATATACAAAGATAATCACTTTATTTTATACATTATTATCAAACACAATTTTATCTTTGTTTTCTGTTTTATCTTGTCTATATTATCTCTTATTATGTCTTGTCTTTATTATCTCTATCTTTTTATCAATAAAACAGTAGTCAAACACTATGTAAAAAACATAATAATATAGAATAGAAAAATAAAAATAAAAATAAATTAAACATATATATATATCTATTTTCAAAATAATAAAAAAAACCCTTACATGCACTGCTTGTACATGGCCAATAAATGTGTTTGTATTCTTACATATTAAGATTTTTCTTTAAAAGGATTCCCTGAACCTGTCATGTATATCCTGCAGCACTTACTAATTTTTTCTAAAGACTAGGCCAGTGTCTGTTCTATTAATACTAACTATCAATTAGATGCGATAGAACATTACCCGCAAGAAGCTTTTTTTATTTTAATTGTTTTCAGACAATGGGTTCCAAGAGTCGCATCATGATTTTTGCTGCCATTTTCTTGCATCTTTTCCTGCATTTTCCATCTCAAACAGAGGCAGGAGCGGAATTAGTGAGTGAGGTCTGCAAACAAAGCCAAGACTACCAGTCCTGTGTTCAAATCCTGACGTCCCATCCACTAACTTTGTCAGAATCTGATAAAAAGGCGATTGCAGAGAAAGCCCTGGCACTAGCAAGAAAAGAATCGGTTGATACAAGCGATTTCTTTACTGGCTTGGCTCACACAAACCCTGCATTCAAGACAGTACTTGAGCAATGTGCTTCCTATTTTAAGGAGGCAGTTACATTCTTGAACCTCAAGGGGCTAAAAGGTGGGACAGCAAGCTTGGATGTGCATTATGCTCTTGATGATGCTGAATCTTGTGAAAGTGCGTTGTCTTCAGGCCATGTTCATATTGATTCAGCTACTGCTAGAATCCAGAAATGGAAGACTGTCTATGGGGCTGCCGAAGCAGCTGTTATAGCTCTTGAAAACTGATTCCTGATTCGAAGATTAATAATGTCTGGTTTCTAATAAAGTTCTTCCTTGACATATCTATATATATATATCCAACTTTCATGCATGTAATGAAGGATTTTGCTGAGTGCAGACATGCATTGATTCTTGCAGGAATTATTTCTACAGAATCTAGCGAGGGCCAAACCTTATTTCCAACCAAATACATTTAGTGAAAAGCTTAAATCCATTTGCAAAATCACATCAAACCGAATCTAAATCATAGTTGGCTAATGTCTAGATGATGTGATTTGGTGGTTTTTTTATTTAATTTAGGATTAGATTTTTGTTCTGACTTTACGCATTTATCTGCTTTCGATTGCCACCTTTACCTTTTGCTGTCATTGTGATTGTAATAAACACACACACACACTGGTATTTGAGTTTTGGGATGAATAGATGGATGTTCCAAGTGATGCTGCTTAAATTTGAACCTTTTAGTCAATTTTGCAGAGGGAACAAGCAATTGATCTCCTTTCTAATTACAGTCTATTTCTATAATTTATTCGGTGAATTTTGTGTAAGCAATGGGCAAATGGAAGATATCAAGCTTCCTATAGGTTTGTTGGAGTAAAAAATAGCTTCCAAAAGTCACGTATAAATGTTAGCATTCTCACATTAGAATTTTTTTTTTGAAAAAGGATTCCACTTTCCATAGAATCAGCAAGTTCCTATGGTGTAGCGTATTTCAACACCGGTTAAAAAGGAACAACTCCTTGGATCTGTCCTATATTTTCCGCTGCACCTGCTAAAATTGCAACAATTTCTAAGATTAGGACACTTTCTCTTCTATTAATGCTAGCAATCAATGAGATGCAATAGAACATTACGCGCTAGAACTTTTTTTTTCTTAACTATTTTCAGACAATGGATTCCAAGAATCGAATCATGATTTTTGCTGCCATTGTCTTGTATCTCTTCCTGCATTTTCCTTCACAAACCGAGGCAGGAGTGGAATTAGCGAGTAAGGTTTGCAAACATAGCCAAAACTATGAATCCTGCGTTCAAACCCTGACGTCCCATCCTCAAACTTTGGTAGCACCTAATGAAAAGGCGATTGCAGAGAAAGCCCTGGAAATAGCAAGAAAAGAATCGGTAGATACAAGCGTTTTCTTTACTGGCTTGGCTCAAACAAACCCTGCATATAAGACAGCACTTGAGCAATGCGCAACCAATTTTAAAGAGGCAGTTCAATTCTTGAACCTCGTGGGGCTAGAAGGTGGCACGGCAAGCTTAGATGTGCATTATGGTCTTGATGAAGTTAACCAGTGTCAAGATGCATTGTCTTCAGGCCATGTTCAAATTGATTCAGCTACTTCTATAATCCAGAAATGGAAGACTGTCTATGATGCTGCAGACGCAACTGTAGCAACTCTTGAAAACTGATTCCTGATTCGAAGATTAATAACGTCTCATTTCTAGTAATCTTCTTCCTATTTCTTCACAGATTTATCCGTCTTCCATGCATGTAATGAAGGATTTTGCTTAGTGCAGACATGCATTAATTTCTGCAGGAATTATTTCAGCAGAATCGTTTGTTTGGTATCTAGCAAAGGCCAAACCTTATTTCTTACCAAATATATCCAGTGAAAAGCTTAAATCCATCTGCAAAATCACACCAAACCGAATCTAAATCATTCTTTGGTGGATTAATTCACATGTGGACATAAGTTTGGGTTTGGAACAAAAATTAAAAATAAAAACAAGAGGAAAAAGAAGATGGAAAATGACCATGTTTAGCTGCTAATTAATCTGTATACTGTTAAATTTTGTTTGCGGTCTGTCAACCAACAAAATGCCATTTTGCTAGATCAATTTTGTCCCCTTCGTTTTAGTGATTTGATTTCTCTCTCTGTCTGCCATGATTCTTCTGTGCGTGCTGTATAGGATTCCGCGTACCAGCCATAGCATAATAAAATAGAAAAAAAAAATACTGTTGACTTTGTTTTCATTTTTTTTCTTTTGATAAGTTTGTGATGCAACTGTTATGCATAGCTATTAAACACAATCAGACAATTGAATTGACTCAAAAAATCTATGAAACCGAAACCCAAATAGGGTTTGATTTCAATTTTTACTAAAAGAGATTGATTTACATGGCTAGGTTTTTAGTGATTCAATTGATCCAGGTTAGATTAATACCATGAAATTTTATAAAAACAAAACAAAACAATATTATTTTAATAAATAAAAAATAATCCATAATTAGATGATCTTTTAGTGCACCTAATGATCCTAATTTTTTTTCAAGTCACACCCTGAACCAGGTTTGAAAACCATGGTCTTAAGTATTTTTTTAGTGTCAGTTTTTTCAAAACATATATTCACCATAAAAAGATAAAATTTAAAAAATTTTTAGGAGTCCAAGAATCTTGTTAAATAAATCTAGAAATGTTTAGGACTTATTACTTAAAGATTTTTTTTTTTTTTTTTGCTTTGAACAATTGTTTTTTAGAGATGTTTAGGACTTATTACTTAAAGATTATTTTCTTTTTTTTTTTTGCTTTGAACAATTGTTTTATGGTTTTGTTGTCATGTATCATAAGCATTCCAAGTC